AAATCCCTTAGAGTTTAGGGTTTACTGCAATTAAAATTACATTGCTTCAGGGTCTCTAGGTGGTGCTGGATTTCTCAACCAAAAGAAGGTCACAGGGTTTGGGGTTGATCAGTATCATACAGCTACGCACTCCCGTTGGACTGAGGGCTTACGATCCCCTAAGCCAGCATAGAACCATGACAAAAGAGCAGGAGGAAGTTTTTGCTTACAGAAATTTTGCTAGTTTGATCTCTCCATGCCACTATTTCCCCCCCACCCCAAACATCAAATATCCACCCTATTGGGAGCGGAGGGTGTGCTTGACATTAATATGAAGGGATAAATATGGGAGGCTAGCAGTGTCTTACTCTTTTTGAGACAGCTTTGAGGAGGCTTCTAATGTAGGGTTCTGAACATGCCGGGTTGCGGGATACAATATCCAGGCTTAGGGTGCAGGAGTGTTCCCTTCCGACAGAATGTTCGTAGGGTGGTCGGGAACATGACCATAGATTCATTCATTCATGCACCAACGGATTAGATCCATCTGCCTAGGTCTAGGCTTTCCCAAATCTTGCACCAACCTTGAACCTAAACTCCTCATAGCCCCCTAGCTGGACACCGCTGCCCCGCCCCCTAATTATTTCGAGCGCAGAACCACTTCGGGAGAGCAGTCCTTTAGATTGGGATACTATAGAAGATATTCCTTTTGGTGACAGTCTTGTCACTCTGGAAGAAAATCATCGCACTTAGTTCAACCACTAAACTCCAAACCCTAATACAGACCCCTGATTAACAAACCCCCTCCCCTTAACAGGGATTATAATAAGGATCCTAATATCAAGGCCCTTAAAAGGAGGGGGTTCATTAATCACGGGTCTACATTAACTGCTACCGTTTTGACAGCAATACAGGAAGAGAAGAAGCTCCTGGCTGAGATTCAGCAGCTCAAGAAGAACCGCTCCAAGGCAGGACGAGTTTCGTGAGGCTATAGGATTTAGGGTTTAGGGGCTTGAGGTTTAGGGGTTTAGGGTTTAGGGTAATAATATGTGGGTTTCCCAAATATCTAGGGGTAATGGCCCCCCGCCCCCCCAGTACATGGGCCCTCACAAACTTAAAGGCGTTCTGCGAAACTCTGGGACCTAGGGCTTGTGGAGCCTTTGTTAAGGCTTCGCGGGCCTTGTCCATGGTAGTTCTATGGAAAGTGACTTATTGGCGCCTAATCCCCAGGCTAAACTTTTGGGGTTTAGTGTGTAGGGTCTAGGGCCTTTCTTAGATAATCCCAGACTGGCAGCCTCGTCGTGCATCACGTGCATGATGTTACAATGGAATGCAATGAACCCATCCAGCCCAGAGTTCCAAACCATACATCAGTCATAGTCTAAACTTTAAGTATCCCCTTTAGCAACCCTAGGGGTGTCGGATCTAGGGAGTAGGGTTTAGGGTCTAAACTCCTAGCATCCCCTGTAATAGTAACGCTAGAAATTTGGGGTTTGGGGAGTAGTGTTTAGGGTCTAAACTCCTCGTATCCCCTTTAACCCTAGGGGTTTAGGGTTTAGGGGTTAGGGTCTAAACTCCGAGCATCCCCTGTAATAACCCAGGATTTAGGGTTTAGGGATTAGGGTTTAGGGTCTAAACTCCTAGCATCCCCCTAATATCCCCTACAGTAGTCCCCTACATAATCGCTTATATAACCCCGTTTAAGGAGTTCAGATTACCTCGAGCCTCACACCCCCATGAGCTTTAGTCTAGACTCCTGAAAGGGGATTATATAGCGAAGTAGTATAGGGGTTATTAAGGGGGATACTTGGAGTTTGTCCGCCCTCCCCCGCCGCAAACCCTAAACCCTACACTCATCTCTCAGACAGGTCAACCAGATGCAACAGATGGAGCAGCAAACTGGCGAAGTTTAGCAGGGCTCCAGGGTTTAGGGTTGAACAGGGCTCCAGTGATTGGGTAGCTGATGTTTTGTGTTGTTTTAGTTTTAGCTTTGGGGTCTCTTTGGCCTGGGGAGGGTTCATGTGCCTTGAATTTAGAGCTTCGGGTTAGGATTTTTCGGGTTTACGGTGGAGAAAGCGCACAGTACATGGACAATAAGGGAATACGTAGGGATTACGATTCAGGGTGCAGCTCTTGGGTTGGTGGGGCTTAGGTTTGGGGTTTGGAATTCAGGGCTCTCTAAACCTTACTACTTGGGGGGGTCAATGGGACTTAGTAAGTATACTTATAACCCCTAGAACCCATATAGTAGCTCCAGCTGTCCTTATTATCAACCTACTTGCTAAGTCCCCCTGACCCAGCCCTAAACTCTAACCTACTTACTAAGGCCCCATGAACCTCCAAGTAGGATGAGCTAAGGCTTTGGACCAGTTTTGCGGACTGCCGTTTGCAGCCTACACTGGCATATTTGAGGTCTGAGTACAGAGTCAACCCTAAACCCTAAACCCATTAGGGCTTAGGGCCTAGGGTTTAGGATGATCAGTAGACATCCCTCACAGGCATGGGCTGTTGGCGGCATAGACGTGGATGAATGCCTTGGTAGATCTGAATGACATACTGAGCTTATTGATGTGACAACATTTCAGCCGTAGTGTCTTTAGCCTTTGTATGCCCTAAACCCTACTTAGTATCACCCCAGGGAATGATAAAAAAAGATATGTTCATCATGGGTCTAGCAGGATTACAGTCAGGAGGCCTATGGCGGAATGTAGGTTTAGGGTTTCGGGCTCAGGGTTTAGGGCTTAGGGTTTAGCGTCTAGGGCTTAGGGTTTAGGGTTTCCGCGCATGTGGAACCATTTTCCTGGACAAGACTCACCTCCTCAAACCTACCCCGAAATGCGTAAGCCTTAAACCGTCCACTGCAAAACCCAAGCCCCTCAACCCCAAAATCCTCAACTCTTAACCTTATATCCTACACCCCCGCTAGCCCCTAAACCCTAAACCCTGCCTTCAACAAGGAACCTTTCCCTAAGACCCTAAACCCTAAAAACTGCCTTCAACAAGGAACCTTTCCCTAAGACCCTAAACCCTAAAACTGCCTTCAACAAGGAACCTTTCCACTGTGGACCCGACCATGTCCATGAAGGAGCAGAAGGCGCTGCCCGAGAAGGGGGGGTTTATTGATCATGGGTTTAGGGTTTAGGGTTCAGGGTTTAGGATTTAGGGTTTAGGATTTAGGGTTGAGGGTATCCTAAACCCCTAAACCCCAAATCCTAAACCCTAAATAGTAGCTTCCATTTTCTTTTCCATTATCCCAGGGGGGTTAAAGGGGCTGCTTTGAGTGGCCTTTTGGGGTTAAAGTCCGCCCTGAGTAGATAGAATATGGGGTATATGGTGATCTTATTGTAATATACCCAAGCCATATTCTATCTTCTTAAGTAGAGGTGTTATATTGGTTGATTACCAGGCTTAAGTGTCCGAGGCTTGCAGTTTTAAGGTTTAGGGTTTAGGGCTCGGGGTTGAGAGTTAAGGGCCAGGTTTAGTCACTCAGCAGAGTACTGGAGTGGTGGAGCTCATACTTGGGAGGGCGGGGGGGCACTTAGTACGTCTCCTGATAACCTACATAATCCATGAAACAATTGCCCTCTGATCAACCTACTTACTAATTAAGTCCCCCTGACCCAAACCCTAAACCCTCAATAGCAGCTTCCATTTTCTTTTGCATTAAAGGGTCAGGTCTCCCTGACCCCTCAAGTAACAGCCACAATGGTAGTTGTAATTTAGTTGCAGTCAGAATCGGTTAATGTAGACCCATGATTAATAAACCCGATCCTTTCAAGGGCCTTAATATTAGGATCCCTATCATAATCTTGATTAAGCGGAAGGGGTTTATTAATCTGGGGTCTACATTGTCGATCCCTTGACCCAGCAGGCAAGCCTTGGGTTTTGGGGGTGGAGAGTGTTCGTTCGGGTGTCAGGTTTTTGGGGGGCTTGACATGCCCAGTGCTGAAGCGACCCTTGGGTCTAAGACCGGCTCCAAATCCCGAATCCTGATCCCAAACCTTAAGACATACTGGAAGTTCCCTGAGAATGATGTTTCATGTTCTGTTATCTAGAATCCTAATAACCAGCTGAAATTGTCATTTCTACCAGGGGTCCAGGGAAATTAGGGGAGATCCTATACTTGAAGAGGCGTTTGTCTTTCCCGCTTTGTTGTTCCTCCAGAGCAACATTGCGGCCCTGTGACTTTGGATGGGGGTCCTTTAAGCTGCGGCAGAGTTGCGGTGATTTTCAGGGGAAACTAGAGCTCCATTTGCGCGCAACAAAGGGTCTAAGGGTAGGAGCTTCGGATCTAGGATTTACGGAGTAGGATTCGGATGATTAAGGGCTTTAGAGATTAGAGCTTCGGGTTCAGGATCTAGGGGTTGAAGGATTTGAAGGCTAAGGTTTAGGATTTTGGAGGTGAGGCTTTGGGGCGTCGACCCAAAGTCTTCTTCTGAATATCTACGTAGTTGAATATCCCACTCTAAGCCTTAAACACTAAGCCCAATTTTGTGAGACTTCTCAGCAAGTATGCGCCAGGAAGCGATCAACACAGAGATGCAGCAGTACCGCGACGAGAAGCGCAAGATCCAGGAGGGTTCTTGAGTGTAGGGTTTAGGATTTGGAGTTTAGGGTTTACAGGCAATCTCAAGCGACCTCAAACGACCTCACCCTAAATGGTGGTTTATATAGGGAGTAGTACCAAAGTGGCTTCAAATTAGAAATTTAAACTATTCGAAAGTACCCTGCTTTAGGGTTTAGGGTTTAGAGTTGGGCAGCCTCTGCACCTTTAACGCTACAGGGATTGAGGATCTACAGTCCTGAGTTACGGGTGAGCATCCGAAGATGACGGGCAATAGAGTTTCCCTTGTTTAAGCTCATTTTTGTTTGGAAACGTGGCTCGGGGCTATCTACAGTATCCACCTGATTCAGAAACTCTGGATAGGGGACGTCTTAGCATGGGGTTCTTCCATCTTTCAAGAAGCTGCGCTGCAGAACTTGCTGGCGCTTGAGGGAACTGCAGGTTAACATTCCCTACCTGATCTCTCTAGAGCCCTCTACAAACAAAATCATATTCGCTCCTGCTTCCCCGCAGGCACCAGCAAGCACAGGTGTCCATGGTTTCAAGCTTCAGATCGTCAATGTAATATGTAGGACAGCACGCAATTACTTGTAGCAGCAGCAAGCGCATGAGATTGCAGGAGGTCCTGAGAACAGCCCTGACGATTGCTCACTAGCTTCGGTGCAGCCTGCGTGTTGACCATGGCGCACTGCATACAGTCAACTTGCTTGCTCTTGGTAGGAGACATGGACATATAATCCCTATGCAATTCCTATAGAATGTATTCCCTTATTCCTTATCCCCTACTGAGCCCAAGGAAACATTCTTGAAGAAGTTCGCGCTCATCGCGAATCATGGGAACACCTTCCGTCTCATATGAAAACCTTCCTACCTTAGATAGTAAATGCACCCCGGCATATGTCAGATGTTTTACGCATAGGGCATATTGAGAACTGGGGGGAGAGGGGGATAGGGGGTGTTTCATCGCATCATGAACATGTGCAGCCCGCAAGGGGTTTGAACTGGATCTACGAAACAGCGCCGAACCAGAGACCTAAGATCTCCCACCGAACGGGTTAAGGGTTTAGGGTTTAGGGTGGGTAAAGCTAGTCACCTCCGCCAATAGTAACAATAACAATAATGAACCCTAAACCCTAAACCCTAAACCTTAACATAATAGTTACGTTGATAAACATCCCAACTTCCCTAGCAAGACATGCTACTCCCCCTATAGACAATGGGAGTATGTTCTGGGCTGGAGGGTATTAGGCGCAGGGGGTTACAAGCGGTTAACAGCTCGCACCTCAGAAGTTTCTGGGAAAAAAGGATGGGCCCTAAGCCTCAGACTCTAAACTCCCCAACCCCTAAACTCCATAAAACCTAAATTCCCTAAAGCCCTAAACCCTAAACTCCGTGAACCCTAAACCCTGAACCCTATTTGATCTCGTGTATCATCTGCTTTCTACCTAAACTCCCTCAACCCTAACCCCCTAAACCCTTAACCCTGCTTCATAGGATCAGATGACCGAGCTGTCTGAAGCGCGCAAGCAACAGCTTGGCCCTATCGAGGCATGGGGAAGCTGGGGGGGGTTTAGGGTTTTGGGTTTGGATTCAGGGTGTAGGATTCTGTCTTCCAAGTGAGAAGTCTTAGGGTTTAGGGTGTTTGGGGGTAAGGCGGTCTAGGGTTTGTTTGAGGTTTAGGGTTTAGGGCTTCGTAGAGTGCAGGATTTAGTGTGCGGGAGGGATTAGGTAGGCTTTGGAGAACCCGAAACTCCTTTCTCCTTGCTGATTGTGAGTAAGAGATTTTATGGGCGGGTATCAAGGGTCTTCTGTAAGGATGCATTCTTCCGTCCCGGGCTAACAGCCAGGAAGTTTAGAGTTTTCTGGCTATAGGTGCAGAAATAAAGGCAGAGAGCATTTTTGTCTTCATTATCTCGAACTCATTTAGCAGAAGTACAGGGCTTGAGGTTCAAGGTCTCGGGGTTAGGGCTGGGGGGCCGGGTTTTCTGACCATTGCAGGTTTACTCCTTGTTTTTTCTAGGGGGTTGGGATGTTAAGGGCTCCGCGCACAAGGGGGTTAAGAAGAGGGTAGGGGGTAAGGTTATAGGACCCTAAGCCTAAAGGGGCTGAGAGGTTCCAGATAATGTCTAATGTTGGATCCTGATCAGGGTCCCTCCGAAACAAAAACAGATCCCTATTCAGGAATGGGGTGGTGGGGGGAACCCCCCAAGCAAATTTGGGTCATAGGTTTAAATTAGATACAACAGGACCACGTTATGCGGATATACATACTCACATATATATATATATACATATAGCGGATTCCCTACAGCTTTGCATGGAGGATTCCATCCCCTCCCTAGATAACCCACTCTCGGGATTGGGAAGTAGCAGCACAAGGATCCTCAAAGGATCTATCCCCCTCCCTCAGTCCCTGTTTAGGGTTTTGGGTTTAGGGCCCAACCCTAAGCCATAACATAACAACCCTTCATCGGGTTTAGGGCGATGCAGAAGTGGAGGTCTGCAAAGAACCCCCACAATTAAAGTCAACACCAAATACTGCAAAGCTTGGTCCCTACCCATGCCCCAGATAATTGCTGAGACTTGCTCTAACTGCGGTTTAGGGTTAAGAGTGTAGGGGTTTAGGATAAGCCCCAAAACCAGTTCAGGATCCAACCTAGACTTTACATACTGTAAGGACACGACTAGTCAACCACGTGTATAGGCAAACACATCGGAAGCAGGAGATAGACTGGATGGAAGACATATGGCACTATCTGGGATACCCTACACCCCAAGAATTGTTGTATCTAGTCTTTCCTCCATCAACAGAACCCGAAACTCCTAAACCCCTAAACTTCCAAACCCCTCAACCCAAACCCCTAAACCCTAAACCCCGAATCTCAAGACCTAAACCCTAAGCCCTACATCCAGAACACTAAACCCCTAAAACCTTAAAACCCCAAAACCTTAAGTAGGAGGAACTCTGCCGGGTTACCTTAGGGTCAGACCTTTGGGGTAGAAGGATACCGATGCTCAAATTATTCTGGATTAAGGGTTTAGGATTTAGTGTTTAGGATTTAGTGTTTAGGGTTAAAGAGTTAGGGTTTGGGATTTAGGTTTGGGGTTTGTTAACATTACGGGTTTGGGGGCGGTTCATTTTGCATTCAACATCTTAAAACTCGAAAATTAAGGAAGCGTGAGAATCCCAAGCAATGATAAGTTTTTATGGGCTTGAGGGTTTAGGGTTCTCGGGGTTTAGGGTCTAGGGTTTAGGGGTTAGGGTTTAGGGGTTTACGGTCTAGGGTTTAGGGAACTAAAGTTATCAGATCATCGTTTGCCCCGTATAGGCGCAAATAAGAAAGCATTTCCAAACTGGGCCGCTGATAAGGAACATTTTTTACTTTACCCTACAATGGGTATATAGTCATTCCAAATCGGACAGGAGATCCAGAATGAGCGCAGCGCCATTGGCGACCAGCTGAAGGCGAAGATCGAGGCCTTTGCTATTCTCATTGGGGGTTTAGGGCTTAGGGTTTAGGGCTTAGGGCTTAGGGTTTAGGGTTTAGGGCTTAGGGTTTAGGGTTTAGGGCGTGATGATTAGGGAAGGGAAGTGGAATTGGAAACTAGCAGGGTTTAGGGTTTAGTGGAATTGGAAACTACCCCTGTGTAGGGGTTGGGTATAGAATACAGAAGTGGATACCTATGGTAATCTACCTGATAAAATTGTCCTTGAGCCCTATTCCTCGATGCTTGCTTATCTAGGGGCCCCGCAATGTAATGTATATGTACATGCGGAATATAGTAGGCACCCTAAACCCCAAACCCTTAAATCCTAAACCCTCAAAACCTGGGACGATTCAGACAATTTGAATTCTGAGTGGATGTTTGTGTTACTAGTAAGGGATGCTGGGGGGTCTATGGGGGTAGTTAGAGGCTTATGCCCCAAAACCTATTCCTCCTCTGACGTCTAAGGTGGAAACCGTGGGCCCGTAGTGTGGGCCCTTTACCCTGGAATCCATATATACCTAGTATAGCCCTTATCTCTACCCGTAAGGGTCCCTAGAATCCCCCCAAAAAGCCTAAGGGCCCATATTAGAGGCCCATGCTTCAGTTCAAGACTGTTCCGGGACAGCTTCAAAAAGGTCCATATGAATGCTACTAGGCTTTCACGGGGGGCTTTAGGGGATTCCATGTTAGCTAGGGGAGGTTTCGGGGCAACGCAGGCGGGATCATGCAGCGTTTATGGTGCGTGTATGGAACGTTCCTAAGAAAGATTGGTAAGTGTACATTACGAGCCTAACACTCAAACCTTAGAACTTACCTCCCCCCAGGAAGAAGTCTAAGGAGCTCAGAAATATATGAGTAGTATTTTATTTGGGGATATTAGGGTACCCAATATAGAGTAAGATTATATCCTCCTTTTGAGGTATAGTATTTTATATAAGGAATATTATCTTATTGGGTTTAACCACCAAAAAAACACTACTCATATGGGGTGTCCAAAGGCAAGGTGATTTGGGGACTCCCCTTACCGAGAGCACAGCATAGCTCTATATAGGACTGCCATTTTTTGCTAAAAAGGCTTCTTTTGTGAGTCTTTATTTCCCAATCCCTATGCGTACCCCTACTGAGAAAACCTAATGATGTTTCCTAAGTCCAACAGCACTGGGGTCCCTAAAGCTCCCTTATATATCCCCATATAACCCCTATATACCCCTTTTTCACCCTTGTGTACCCCCTGTATCCCTCTTTAATGGTGTTGGTGATGAAATTTGCAACTCCAAGGCTTTCGAAACTTTTGGATTTGGTGTTTAGGGCTGACATAAGAAGGGAGCTCTGCTTGATAAAGCACATTTCGGCGACACCGCTTCTGCTGACGTGGCTGAACTGCAGCAACAAAGCCAACCATGTTTGTGACTTCGACTGTTACGATTTGTTCAACGACTGTTGGCTTAGCCTTTGAGGCACCATCCAACACAATCACAGAACCTTATTGCCGTTCTTCAGTTAGCACTGCTTGTGATTGGCCTGCCCGCCAGAATGATCCGTACATGGATGATGTCAGGACAGGAGCTGCCCGCGCTTGACATGGAGGAGATCCGCGACGTAAGAGATTTAAAATTTTCACTACGCAGGCTGCACGGCTTTCCGACTTGCATGCAGAAGCTATTGCACAATGGGAAAAGCCTGGACGATTCTGCTCAGCTAGATGCCTCCACCGACATGTCCATGCAACTAGTCCTCTTGGTCCCTTCTAAATGCAAGCAACGGCAAAACGCAATTTTCGAAGCTTGCAGTATGCGCAGCTTGCAGGCTGCGCGTTTGCTGTTGGAGGTTGGTGCTGGCAGGGACATGCTAAACACTGACGGCGAGACAGCTCTCATGGTCGCAACACGCAATGGCCACGAGGAGATGGTACGGTTGCTTCTTGAGGCTGGCATGTATGCGAATGCGAGGTCTGGGAATGGCTATCACTACACAGCTCTCATGATCGCAGCAGACACTTGCCGCCAGGAGATTGCACGAGTGCTGCTGGAAAGTGGTGCCGCCAAGGACACGCAGGATATTGACGGCCAGACAGCTCTCATGTTCGCAGCAGACAGTGGCAACACGGAGATCGCACGATTGCTGCTTAAGGCCGGCGCCAATGTGAACGTACTGAATTACGATGGCTACACCACACTCATGAAAGCAGCAGAGAATGGCCACGAGGAGATTAGCCGATTGCTGCTTGAGGCTGGTGCCGACAAGGACGTGCGGGCTAACAATGCCGTCAGCGCTCTCATGCTCGCAGCAAGTTTCGGCCACGAGGAGATTGCACGATTGCTGCTTAAGGCTGGTGCCCGCAAGGACGTGAAGGATTACAAGGGCATCACCGCTCTGATGCACGCAGCAAAATCTGGCCATGGGGAGACTGCCCGATTGCTGCTTGAGGCTGGTGCCAGCAAGGACGTGCGGGATTACAAGGGCGTCACCGCTCTGATGCACGCAGCAATCGAGGGCCGCATGGACATTGCACGATTGTTGCTTGAGGCTGGTGCCGAAAAGGATGTGCAGGATACCATAGGCTACACAGCTCTGATGCTCACAGCCAAGTCTGGTGATGAGGAGATTGCACGGTTGCTGGTTCGGGCTGGTGCCAACAAGGACATGCAGAATGCTGACGGCGAGACAGCTCTCGCGCTTGCATCAAAACGTAGCCACACGGAGATGGCACGGTTGTTCCTTTAGGTGGCAGACACACAAGACGTGGACCAATTTCGCTGACGTGTGTCTTCGTATGGAGTGGTGCCGTATATGTAGTCTGTAACTATCTTAGTCTGATTGAGGACCTTGAAGGGGGTCCTGGCTCTGGTGGCGCGCCAAAATGGGGCTGATGACCTCTCACCTGCTCCTGCACCCATGTCCCTTGACACTTCACTTGAGAGCTGTTCGATTAGGATACTCTAGCTGCCACTTTAGAGTAAGATTCTCCCTTAAGAAACTACTCAAATCACCAATTCTCATATCCTTAAGGGGGTTGGTCCAAGCCGTAGGACCTTAGGGAGTACTAGGCGATCTACGCCCTTGAAGCGCGCCCCCTAAACCCTAAACCCTAACCCTAAGCCCTAAACCCTAAACCCGAAACCCCAGACCCTAGAGCGGACGCCTTAGCAACCTCAACAGCCCGGTGGTCTTCCCCTTGGAGATCCTGGGGAGCCCTATGTCTTGGGACATTTTCAAGGGGCAAACAGGGATTCTGTAGGGTTACAAAGGGAATATGTAGGGATAGGGGTTCAGGGTTCAATGCCTAGGTAGGGATCCTAGGGTTCAGGGCTTAGGGTTTAGGGTCTAAACCCTTAAAGGGGGCTATATATAGGGGATGATACAGGGGACTACTGTAGGGGGGAGATTAAGCGGGATGCTGGGAGTTTAGGCTAGAGTTCACATAGGGAAATCATAGGGCTGGGGATTTAGGGTACGTACAGCTGCTCCCAAACAGAGGCAATTCCTAGGTAGAGATCCCGAGCTGCAGAGATTGCTTTTTCAGGAACAATTAGGGTTTAGGGTTTTAGGGTTTAGGGTTTGTGGTTTAGGTATTTGTTTCAGGGCCTAGGCACACGCGAACTTTGGACCTCAATAGCACAGCTTCTATCATATGGGGCCTCTCGGAATAGGAGCATTCTTGGGACCCCAAATTGAGGATATATGTGGAAGACAAGGAGAGGATAAGGGTCTCCAGAGGGAGCATGTAGGAGCAGTTTGAGAAACTCGGTCCTAGCCCATGAACGTTGAAAGTAAAACCCTAAACCCTAAACCCTAAACAGGGCTTTCGTGGCTATTGCTTTGAAGCTTTTTGTTCACTCAACACCGAAACTTCCTTAGCCCTTCAGCCTTCAAACCCCAACAGCCTGTCATCCTCTGACCATGTATCAACCACTATCCTTTCAGCTTCCATGTGTATCTGCAGGGTCTCATCCGACCCCCTCATACAATCCCTAAGAAGTACCCCAAAATCTCCCTGTCGTGGTCCCTATCTATCCCATTCCTAGACCCTAAATTCTATTAAGTCCCAGTCCTGATCCCTATAAACTCAACCTTGAAATCCCTAAACACACTGCATCGGCCGCAGGAACGCAACGCCTTCCGCGATGAGTTCCGCGCGAAGGAATCGCTGTTGGAGTGCTTCAGGTTGAAGCGCGGACATATTGCGGGATAGTTAAAAAACGTTATATATGTTTGGGGTTCAGGGCTGAGGGTTTAGGGGTTTTAGCTTTAGGGTCCAGGGTTGAGGTTTTGGGTGCGGGGTGTTTAGGCTTCTGGGTTTAAGAGGTTAAGGTGCTAAGGGGGGCATTCCGCTCGCAACCTACAGGTTCTCATGAAAGCTTCGTGCGGAGAATCTTTCTTGCCATCTTAGTATTATGATGGAGGCGCTCCCCCAAAAGGTTGACAATGTATATTTACCTCGACATACGCACCGAAATATTTGCTACGACCACGTCCATTCAACTTTTCATGACATATTATACAGGAACATTGATCTTCTTTTGTTGCTTCTTTACATATGCAACTCTCCAATGGATCTCCGGATAGGCAGCGGAAGAGCCCCCTGAAAAAGCATTGATATTGTTCATTGCCCTAAAATCCTTAAACCCTAAATACCAAGACCATGACCCTAGGCCCTAAACCCTAAACCCTAAGCCCTAAACCCTAAACCCCTTAAACCCTAAGCCCTAAACCCTATAACCCCTACACCCTAAACCCTAAACTCGGGGGATTCTGAGTGTTGAACTGTGAGTTGGGTCTTAGGATTGGTAGAGATGTTGCAGGGTTTATGGTCCCCCTTAAGTGCATAGAATATGGCTTTGGGTATATTATAATAAGCTCCCCATATACCCCATATTCTATCTACTTAGGGGAGACTATATCCTAAACCCAAAAGCCTAAATAGTAGCTTCCATGTTCTTCTCCATTATCCCTATATAATCCCTATAAAGCCCCATGTTCTATCTACTTAAGGGGGACAAAAGCGCTTAGAACTCAGGGATGAGTTGGATTTTCCAGAGAGCCTCTGCCTTGTACATCGGTTGCTTTGAGTTTAGGGTTTAGGGGCTTAGGGGTTAGGGTTTAGGGTTTAGGGGTTTAGGGTTTCGAGCTCATGGGGAGTTCTTCCTAGATTGGCAGTTGATGGGCACGGGCCCACTTTTGTTCAGCTTGGGGACAGCCTAAGTCCCCATCCGTGTGTGTTGTTCACGAACCAGTGCCATGTGCACAGCTTCCTCCGTCCAGCTTCGGCATGAGAAATGTCATTTCCTAGCACCCATAGGACCATAGGAGATAAGCCCTTGACCCTTAACCTAGATCCCAAACCCTAAACCCAAAACCCCAACACCCCAAACCCCAAATCCTAAACCCTAAATCCTAAACCCATTTAACTTTCCAACCGCAGGAGCGTGAGTACAACCAGTACCTGGCCGAACTCCGCCGTGCCAAGCAGGAGTGGTTTAGGGGTTTGGGGGGTTTAGGGGGTTTAGGGTTTAGGGCTTTGGGAGTTTAGGGTTTAGGGCTTAGGGTTCAGGGTGTAGGGTTTAGGGCTTAGGGTTTTGGGTTTTGGGGACTGGTTTCGGGCTTACCGTGTTGGGCTTAGTGTTTAGGAGGAAGGGCTTAGGATTCAGGGTTAAGGGTTTATGGTTTCTTAGTTTTTTCAGTGTTGGATTGAGGGTTGAGGGTTCTGGGCTTACTTGGAAGGTCACGTGTACTTACACCAGTTGTATTAGAACCCGTATAACCCATATAGTACACCCAGTTTATTCCCATAATTAACCTACTTACCAGGCCCGCCCGAACCTCCAAACGCGGTTCAGGATGTAGGGTTGGGATTTGGGGCTTAGAGTAATGTAGACCCCCAATTATTAAACCGCCTCCTTTTAAGGGCCTTTACATTAGGATTCCTTTTTCAATCCCTACTACGGGGGGGGGGGGTTTAGCAATCAGGGGCTTACATTATTATCGACTCCTTGCTACACGCAGGCCTGTCCTGGGTAGAGAAAACAGCCTTTTGAGACCTAGGTGATATCCTCTCTCACCATTTACATCATTCACCGTATCTTCTTCTTATTTTGCATGTTACAATATATTGCACTAGAGGGCTCCAAAGTTGTGCACTTAGGTTTATCATTCAGGTTTGGGCTTCCCCTCGGCGAATTCCTTTTGAAATATGGAGTTATTTAATCAATTTTGGGCTCCAAAGCCCTACATCCTCCCCTCCCGACCCTAAAGCGTTCACCCTAAAGCATGCGCTCCATTCCCCGATCACCAAACGCTAAGCCCCTGACCCTAAACCCTTTACCCTAAACCCTAAACCCTACGTAAACCCTTGCCCTTAAACACTTTCAGGAGAAGTATGCGGCCGAGAAGGCCGAACGCCAGAAGGCGGCGGTTTCGTGTGTTTGGGAAGCTTCCTGGTTGTTAAGGGTTTCGGGCATGTTCTTAAGGGTGAAGACTTTAGGAGGAGTGGATCCTTGAGGGTGTTGGGGTTTAGGATTTGGGGTTGGGGATTGATCCCTAAGGACTTGGTTTTGAGGGCGGTGCGCTGTGGGG